CTTTAGGAAAAAAAAAATTGGAAAAGCAGGCCACAGTGAGGGAAATCTAACATACAAGAGCCCGGATTATGAAGTCGGGTAGTTCTGGGTTTTGATTCTGGCTTTGCCACATACGAGGTATATACATGATTTAGGATTAACTAACCTCCCCAAGCCTCAGGCTCCGTATCTGCAGCGTGGGGATAACAGTAGCACCTGCCCCACAGAGCCACGAGCATTCTAGAAAAGCAGCACATAAAACCCAGGAAGCAAGGTGCTCTATAAATAACCCACATTACACTGCAGCTTTGGGGTCCAGAGGCCCGGAAAGCAGGAATTCTGAGTTCAAGCCCAGCTCAACAGGGGCCGTCTGGTCCCACAGTGGCTGTAGCCTGGGCCTCTCTCCTTCCCTCCAGATCAGCTCCACCTCCCTGTGGCTCCTGAGTTACGCAATCCCGTATCTCACAGCCTTTCGCTGGGAGAGGGAAAAGTTAAATGGAAGCCTTTGCATTTTGTGCTGCCTGATCTTAGGCAAATACCTTTCAACTCCATGCGTCAATTTATAAATTATCTATGAGACGGAGGTAATAGAACTTCTCAGCCCATCCCAGAGGGCTGTCGTCGGGGGGGGGAGGAACAGCATGCCGCCGTCTACAAAGCTCCCCATGAAAAGAAGTCTCCCCCCTGCTCCTGCTTCCCTCCCCCCTGCTGACAGAAGCTACACGTCTTCAGTAGAGTTTGGGGCACAAAGACCCTCTTCGTCCTGGTAGCCTGTAGATATGGGGACTTGGAGGCCAGAAACGAATGGGCCCTGCAAACGTCAGGAAGACCAATGAGCCTTTCACAGGCCGCGAAGACCAGCTAGCTGAGGATCGCTATTTGCAAATCTACACTAATTGGTCATTACCGAGAGAGGCACACCAGTCCGCTGCGGACTTCCCATGGCTCATTTTTAATCATGCACCAATCCCTCATAAACTTCCTCGCCCCTCTCAGCCCATTCTCCAGCACTAACAGATACAACAGGGGGCCCCCAGGCGTGTTTCTGAGAAATGCCATTTCCAACAGCCGTACAAAGTGATTTCTCGGTGCCCAATGGGGGGAGGCCCTCGTGTGTGTCTGCCGCCGGTACCATCGGACACGCTTCCTGAACGCAACCACAGAACCCAGCACGAGCCCTTTCCTCTCCTGTTCTTCCTCCTTTGCTAACGTCAGCGAATGGATGGTGTTCTGATGCGTTCACGGAAAGACACTCACCTGTCCCAGGGCTGCTCCTGGGACTTTCCACGGGGTAGCACAGATGGAGCTGCCTTATTTATGCCCCTGCAGGGTCACTGGTAGACAGCTCGCTGGCTGGCTGCCTGTGCCCCAAGGCACAACGGGCCTCAGGAACGTGGTGAGGCTTGACAGTGACCAAGAAACCCCTTCCTAATGGCTTTATTATTACTCTTAGGGACCAGCTCTGAGTTTATCGTTGATCATCATTTTGCAAATATTTTCATAGGCCAGGCATCACACTAGGCATTAAAGATACAACGGTGATAAAAAGCAGACCTCTCTCTGCCCTTCTGGAGCCGATGATCTAGGGAAGGGAAGGACATGTACCAGCGTATTCCACAAAGGCATGAAAGATCACACCCAGCGTTGAGGTCACTGAGGAAAGGTGCGTGATCCTAGGAGAACATACAACAAAGGATCCCCTACGAGATAACGAATGCACAGAAGGTTTCTCAGAGTAAATGTGGCTTAAGCAAAAGAACATGGAATTACCTAGCAATGGGGAAGAGGAGGCCAACTGGGGATCAGAGTTTAAGAGACCAGCAGCCCCTGGCACTGGGGAGGAAGGGGCAGAGTAGGGGGGCGGGTCAGAGCGGAGGAGACATCTAGTGTGTGAGCAACGGCACATTCAGGCAAAAGATGAAGCCGAGGGAGGCAGGAGCCAGAAAGCGCAAGAAAATGCCACTCAGGGCCGTGGTCTCTAACAGGAGCAGGGGAAACCACGGAGGGGTTTTATGCACGGGAAAGGGGGATGGCAGGGCGGGGCATGCTTTTGGGGAAGCCAATGCATGCTGCTGACAGGGAATCCATCTGGGGGATGAATGAGCAGAGCGGAAAAGACTCATTTGGACAAAAACTGTTGAGGAGAGGTCACAAACGCTTAGAGAGGGATGGGGATGGGTGAGCTGGAGGGCAGTTGGGACGTGGGATGGACGGACGTGGGGGGAGGAAGTCTCGGTTCTGGAGTGCTGCTCAGTAGGAAGATGGCAGGGATACAACCAGGAGAGGCTCTGGCTGGGGCAGCTGGGCAGATCGTGGTTTGGAGTTTGTGCAGCTGGATTCTGTATCAGTCATCACTGCTGTGACCGTCAAGTATGGCAACATCGTGTTTACAAAATGCTTTCCTACTCATTGTCCTTACAGGATTCTGACGAGAGTCTCAAGGGACACAGGATGGCATGATACGGGTGTTTCATTGGTAGGGAAATGAGATGCAGGTGTTCGGGACCTTGAAGAGGGTGGTCAGTAGCAAAGGTCACATTGGAGGATGGGAGAGGCACCTGGGTGGCTCAGTGGGTTAAAGCCTCTGCCTTCGGCTCAGGTCATTATCCCAGGGTCCTGGGATCGAGCCCCACATCGGGCTCTCTGCTCAGCGGGGACCCTGCTTCCCCTTCTCTCTGTCTCTCTACCTGCTTGTGATCTCTTTCTCTGTCAAATAAATAAATAAAATTAAAAAAAAAAAAAAAAGAGGATGGGACCCTGGAGACCATATCCTTTAGAACACATCTGATTATATTTTTTCTTATTTTTTTAAGCCATGAAATCTCCCATTTGAATGGATAAAAGTCTAGGACATAAAATAACGAACAGCTGGTCTTCCTGGATGAAAGTGGGCATGCGAGAGTCTGAGCACCCATCCCTCTGCCCCCGGTGCCGGGCAATACCTCAAGGGAAGACCCAGGGTTCCCTGGAGCAGATTATAGCCCTGGGTGCCTTACTCCTTCAGTCTCCCACTGTCCGTGGATTTCAAGAGCGTTTTTTAAAAGACTGACGATGGACTGATTGATTGATTAGAGAGAGAGAGAGAGAGAGAAAGAATGCGTGCACACAAGCAGGGGTAGAGGGAGAAGCAGGCTCCCCACTGAGCAGGGAGCCTAATTACGGGGCTCGATCCCAGGACCCTGAGATCACAACCTGAGCTGAAGGCAGACGCTTCACCAACTGAGCCACCCAAGGCGCCCTAAGAGCATTTTAATCCCATGTTGCCTTGGCTACAAAGGGGAGTGGGGCATTTTAAAGACCTGCTGCCTTTCAGATGCTGCTGGGCCTTCACCGGAGTTACTCAGTTTAGTCCCTGCCTTGGTGGCTGTCACCATGTCACCCAAGGAACACATGTTGGAGTGAAGGCTCAGAGCCCAGATCAGATGGCTCCTCAATGGCAAGCCAGGAAGTGAACTTGGGGTTCTGCTGAACCACTTCTGTGTTTTCTTAAAAAAGGAGAGGCTGCAGGCGTGCAAGGGGCAGGACACAGGATTGCCCAAAAAAGGAGAGTGAGGAAGGAGGCAGAGGGGTCCCACGTGCCGGGCACTGCGCCTCCCCCTCCCGTTGCTTTTCCCCACTGTGTTGGCGCTGAGACCCTGGGAGACAGAGAGGCTTGCTTTCACCTTAATTAGTGTAGCAATTTGCTAAATTTTGTTTTTCCCTTTTAAGAGTGTTAATCAATTTTAGCTCAGAATAGATTGGAATGGCACACAAATTACCACGACAATCCCCAAATGCTAAATTCTGAACATCTCGATCAACCTCAGAGTCTGAAATATGGGAAAATCAGAAACTCCGGCCGGCATCTCTGTGATCTATTTAAAATGTTATGGCTCTGAAATGAAAAGATAATGGCTTTATGAGATTTGGAACAAGCAATTTGCTAGAATCAGCCTCATGCCTAGGTGTTTAGTCCTTCCCAAGGTGATTGGAGATACACCATCAACATATTTCTGCAAAGTTACATGTTCCTCTAACAACAGCCATTTGTTAAATCCATAAGCATTACAGGGGACCAACAGTGCACCAGCAATCAGAAGAGTGAGATGTGCTCCCTGCCCCCTCTCCCATTAAAAAAGGTTCTAAACTAAAGCAGTAGGCAGACAGAGATCTCCTCTTTCCTGGAGAGGTCAGGGAGGTTCTCAGAGGAAGTGCAATGCAGCAGAGTCCTTGAATAGGAGTGACGACAAAGTAGGTGGAAGGGTGTGTTAGCTAGAAGGAACAGCATAAGCAAAGCCTCAAACAGAGGAGAGAGCGAGCAGAGACCAGAGGTGATTTTCTAGGGCTCAGTAACAGAATGACTTTCCAGGAAGGACCCAGATGAGACGGGAAGAGTCAAGAACCAGAAGCAGGACTTCTTGAGACTGTGATCTCAACCCTGATCCAGGCAATGTGGCACTACAGATAGATTTTAGGCGAGGAAATGGCATGATCAAATGAGTCTCATTAGGTGAAACCTTGTACTCCAAAACAATGTTTAGTATTTACTCAGTATAATCTTTTAAAGCACATTCACATATATCCTCTCACTCTGCCTGCTCATTATCCCATGAGGTTGGTATTATAATAATCTGTTTACTGATGAGAAAAAAGATACAACAAAGGTGTAGATTAACTACTTTGTATCTTAAGATGTAAATGAAAATACAACAAATTAAAACCCAGGCCCCTCTGACTCTGAATTCAGCACTGAGCTCCCTGGGTAGCAGAGCCACTGCAGACCTCTTTCAGATGTATACCAGGCCAATGGCCTCCCCCTCTAAAGAAAGCCTTGGTGGCCAGAACCGTCCAGACCAGCATGCATTCTGTCCTGAGGAAGTGGCCCCTTGGATACCTTCCAGAGTAACATCAGATCTGGGAGGCAAACAGCCTGGCCATTCCCAGCTGAAAGCTGAGATTGCTGCCACTTCCAGGCTACAGGACCACAGCCAAGAAAAGCGTCCAGCTCAAGGAGCTCGGGGAGGCAACCTCGCTGCCCGTACCTTGAGCTCATCTGCATTGTAGAAGTCCACACGCACGGCAGGCACCATCCAGGTCTGGAAGAGCGTCGCCAGGATCTGCTCTGCGATGGAATCGGCAATGAGGTGGAAATGCAGGGGGTTCCGCCTGTGAGAAGTGGGGGGAAGAGGAGTCAGGAGGGATAAGCAGGGAGTTCCAGCTGCAAACCCACATTCTTACCAATTTGTAACACGTGGTCAGTTTCTAAGAGCACCTGTGAAAGGACGTCAGGCACATTACCAACCCAATGCTTGCTGGTAACCAGGATGCCAGAACCAAAAAGGAGAGCAGGCATCTCATCCCACCGGAGGATTTCAGACAGGGTCAAATTGTTGGTAATACTCCATTCAAGCCAACCACCGAACCTGTTACTAGCATATTTGTGTCTCTAAAAACCTTCAACAGAGCCTATGAAACAACGTGGCCAACCCTTTATTTCTATCACCTACACGTTTGGGCATTAGTTTCAGGAGCACATGGACAGAGAATTAAGTCTTCAGACCAGCTGAACGCGACAGACAAGATACTTCTCCTACAGCATGGTACTGAGTTCTGTTTTCTACTTATTCTTCTCCAAAGAAACCCAGGCACCCAAGATGGCATCACTGGGGACCCCCCATCACTGCACACCAGCTTGCCCTCACTTTGAATATTCCTACAGCTTTTATTTGTTCACCTCAACCAGCCGTTACTGGGGGAAGCACCCAACGTACCAGGCAGCATTACACCAGGGCAAAGCTTCTGGAATCGAATGGAAATGGACCCAAATCCCAGTTGTGGCGTTTATTAGTGGGGATTTGGGACATGTCATTTCTCCCTCCCACTGCTGCTGCTTCATTCTGCAAAATGTTGAGAAAAATCTCTTTATCAGGCTACCGTGTCAATTCGATAAGTTTAATATATAATGCCTATCAAAAATGAACACAGGACCATAAACAGCAGATATGCCTTCTTCTATGATATATACTACCGAGCCAGCAGAAATAACAGCATCAGCTGTAATATCACAAATGAGTGTCTTTGGGAAATCTAGAGATGCAAATGACCTGGTTCTCATGACCTTAGGGAGCTCATGCTCGTCAGAGGGACAGAGGACCCACGTGCGATATAAACACATAATTTTATGTTATCAACATAATGTTGATAACAATCACAACACAACACAATGCTCTTTGGGAGTAAAGAAAAAATAGGGGGTTAATTCTGACTGGGTCAGGAGGACGTGGAGGAGCTGGGGAAGCTGTGTCTTAAAAGATACAGGAATTTGATAGGAAGCAAAGGGAAAGGGGACACAATGCAAGGAGAGTAATAGGAGACTACAGCCTGAGCCCAGGGCGTGCTGGGAGCGTGTGGGGAGAAGTGGTTAGCTGGGACTCTAGGGTCAGAGCAGAGGAGGAGGAGAGGAGAGAGGGCAGAAAGCAGCAAACACCCAAGTAAACAGTCCTGACTTCATCAGCGAGGCGTGGGGAGCAACGTGGCTCACCTCTTAGCTTTTAGCCTCCTAAGTCTCTACCCAGCCCTGTTCTAGAGACACAGACCCTCTTTCGGCTTTCCACGCCCACTCTTCACCTGAGACTTCGCATCTTCAACTTGCTCTGTCAGTGACCTTGCATTTGCTCATTTGGTAAGGACTTACTGAGCACCTACTACTTGCTGGGAGATGAGCAGGATGCCGGGAACAAGCTAAGATAACCACTGCTGCCCTTACAAATCATGACCTGCCCCCCACCCCCCTTCACACTCTGCAGCCGGCATCCATCTCTTATTCAGCTCTTAGTTCTGAGATCTGCCATCATTTTTCCCTAGAGTCCTTCCCTGACTACCCATGCCTGGCTCAGGGGTCCTTCCTAACAGAGGGTCATCGAAGCACCATGGACCCACCCGTCGGTTTTGATCGCTTGTTGTCCTGTCTAGATCCACACTTAACTGTGAGCTCAGGGAGGTCAAGGACCCCACCAGTCATGCTCCAGGGTATCACCTCGTAATCCAGCCCTGTGCCTAGAATGTTGGAGGAGTTCGATAAAAGGACTGAACGGATGGATGAGGGATGGACAGCGGACAGATCAGGGGAACAGAGGCGCACACATCATGTGGAAGATGAGACTCGCGGAATGTGAAATGAAGATCTGATCTAAGGCCATGTCGGAGGAAGAACAACCTAGAGGGATTTCAGGAAAAGAGATCTTAGATAAGGGGCAAAATGAAGCAGAAGAAGCAGAAGGGGACACTGCGGCTCCTGGGTTGGTGGTGATGTCTCTAGGACAGGGGAGGCGAGAGGAAAAGCAGCACGATGGAGGAAGATGAGGGGTTTGGGATTGGAAGCACCAAGTTTAAGGTGAGGGTGGCAAAGCCAGGCGGAGCTGAGTGGATGAGTCTAGACCTGAAGGCAATCAGCATCCAAGGCTAACCCGCCATACACATGACAGGTGCTCAAGGGTGAGAAACAGGATAAATAAATAGAAGACACAGTCAGGACTGCAGAATTTCTCCATGGGACCCAATGCCTGAACACTGCAAATTCCCCCATTAAGCTATCTCTATTCAAGGGAAGGGGCATAGGTTCCTTGGAAGCCCTATTAGAAGCCTCCCTGTAAGAAGCTACCGGTTGGGGGCGCCTGGGTGGCTCCGTGGGTTAAAGCCTCTGCCTTCGGCTCAGGTCATGATCCCAGGGTCCTGGGATCGAGCCCCGCATCGGGCACTCTGCTCAGCAGGGAGCCTGCCTCCCTTCCTCTCTCTCTGCCTGCCTCTCTGCCCACTTGTGATCTCTGTCTGTCAAATAAATAAATAAAATCTTTAAAAAAAAAAAAAAAAGAAGCAGCTACCGGTTGGCCTGAGTAACAATTAGTGGTCATGTACTAATCAGCCAGTGACTTACCTGAAGGGTTAGTGAAAGGCAGCTGGTCAGAGTCCCTGGCCTCTGGTGCTGGAACTGACACCACCAAGCCTCCCAACCCCCACAGGAGCCACAGTGGAGACTTACGCATGGAGAATGGACCAAGGAAAGCCTTTATAACTGCCAATCTGCATTTCTATCCATAACGGAGGAATGCATAATTTTAGACACAGAGTGACAATACCAAACCGACCCAAGCTACGTATATTTGTTCCAACATGATCACGCTGTCCACCTGTCTCCGTCTTCCTGTGTGCGGGCTCTCCAGAGGATACTCACCGCCCAGCATAGAGCCCACATGGTTCCTGTTCCTTCTTCAGACTTCCCTTTTCAAGTTAGCTCCTCCCAGACACCTTCTTTGAGCTCATCCAGGCCCCCTTTTCCTGCTAACTTGGCATCTCCGATGAAAAACATGAATATAGCCTTTCTTTTCTTTCTTTCTTTCTCTCTCTTTTAAAGTAGGCTCCACACCCAGCCTGGAGCTCAGAGTGGGGCTTGAACTCACAACCTGAGCTGAGATCGACAGTCCAACACTGAGCTACCCAGGCGCCCCCACACGTGCCTACCATTTGTAGCATGACACCATGACACGCTTTCAAACATGCAGCTCCTTGTCTCTACTGTGAGGTCTTTGAGGACAGAAACCATGTTCTCACCTCCATCCCTGGTGCCCAGAAGAGAGCCTGGCATGTAACAGGTGCTCAAGAAACACTTGTGCAACAGGAAAAGGAGGCCAAAGCCCCTCCTTCTAGGCCCCCATTAACGTCACCGTTCTCTGCCTCAGTGGGGCAGAGCAGGGGTTCGCTGCTTCAGAACGTCTGGGCCGGAGCCCTGGCTGCGTAACTACTAACCGAGTGACCACGAGCAGCTCAATCATCTTCCGAACCCTCAATTTATTGATCTTCAGATCAGGAACATTAACAGGAGGTAAACAGTACTGCACGGTAAGGATCCCGTGATACAACATGAAGTGCCTGGTGTGTAAGATTTTAATGTATGGGATCCACCGGTGTGGTCTGAACGTCAGCGTCCTGCCCCCCTCAGATTCATAGGTCAAATCCTAACCCTTCAGGTGATGGTATCAGGAAGTGGGGCCTTTGGGAGGTGATTAGATCGTGAGGGTGGAAGCCTCCTGAAAGGGATCGGTATCCTTAGAAAAGAGGCTCTGGGGAGCTCCTGCCCTCCCTCCATCATAGAAGGACACAGAGAGAAGCTGGCAGTCTGTAACCAGAAAGCAGTCCCCGCTCTCCCCCCACCATCAGACCATGCTGATGTCATGATCCCGGACTTCCCAATTTCCAGAACTGTGAGGAATAGGTTTCTGTGGTCTGTGAGGCCCCCCAGTTGAGGTATTTTGTTATAGCAGCCCAAGCAGACCAGGATAATCATTGTCAGTGCTAACTTAGGAAACTTATTTTCTCGACTGCTTTGCATTACGCTTCAAATGAAGTAATTTCAATTAGTTCCTCCATCCATAAGCAAAAAAAAAAAAAAAATGAGTTGAATGAAGAAACATACAACAAAGAGCTATGAAGCAGTAAGTACATGAAAGGCATAAGAGGGGTTTAGGTGACGCAGGAGCTGGCACTCTCCTCTCTCTGTGCAGCTATCAATATGGCAGAAACACGGAGAGAATGCAAATAACTACACAAACACTGGAACACGGGTGTGCCCTAACACTGGGCCACCTCACGTGACTGAAAAGTTTGGGAATGGCACACCTCCTGTAGAGCCATCTAAATAGACTGATATGGACAGTAAGTAAAGGGTACCCCTAGAGTTGGATGGTGAGCAACCTGCACAACTATACAGGACGGCTCTGCAAGGACATGCACAAAGTTACAGGGGTGCAAGAGGTGACTTCTCGACAGTGCAGAGTCTAGGATGTCTGCACAGACTACGTGGCAATTAAACTAGAACCTTGGATAAGAGGAGATGGGAGGATGGAGGAAGGCATCGTGCAGGATATGACGGAAGAAGGGAAGGAACAGAGGCAGGAAAGTACACAGCATGTCTAAGAAGAACGGCAGTGTTCTTTGGGTGGATCATACAGAAACATTTATTGGACACCTACTGCATGCCAGGAATCAGGAGAATAAAAAGAAAAAGTCAAAGTCCTAACAGCAGGCAGGGCCAGAGTAAGTGACTTCTTTAGATGCATGACTTTCATTATCTAAGAAAAAGAGAGCCAGATAAGATTTGGATGCTGAGCAGG